ATAAATTTTTACTGTATATTTTTATAGTAGGACCAAGTGCAGAATCATTAGATAGCACTTAGAAACAGTATAAACCTCTGGACTCAGAAATAAAGAGTTTCTGCTATTAATATACACAATCAGTTGCAAACCTCTATCTCTATCCAATTATTCCTTATTTTCTTAAGATGAATGAAGAACAATTATTCTCAGCAAATCCTCATCAATTTAATAATACAAACTATGATTCCAACAAGGAAGCCGGCTCCAACTCAGACTGAGTTACTTCATAAACCATTAGGCAGTTGAGAATTGTGAATAGCTTTCTATTTCACGTATTGGATAATGATGAGGTTTTGTAGTATTGTATGAAGGTAATAAAAATGAATGAAAGTAAAACCTTTCTACACTGTGTAATGTATTTCAGATAATTACCCTAAACTTGGTACGGTGATGATGTTGTCTTTATTTTCTTTCACACACTTGTGGCATGTTTGTCAAACACATATATTTATTTTTTACTTGTGAATATTTTTATTAGCATATATGTTATTTGCAATTTTTATTGTGATATATTTTGATTGGTACATTCTGAATGGAGCCTAAAAAATAAAAAATAAAAGGTTTCCTTTCCAATCAGAGCAGCAATACTACTCCAATGAAATAAAAATAAAAAAGTGAAAAAAAAAAAACCCAGAAGAAGAAATTGCAACACAATTATAGAAAAAACAATAGAAGAAATATAATAGAAAATTTTTTATATATTTTACCATTTTGTGGGATTTCCATAAAAATCTAATGCAGCCTGTCTCCTCTAACAATATTCTAGTATACACATCAATTGTATTTGGGAGAATATACTTCTGCTCTGCCTTTTCTACTTGTAATAATTTAGCAACAGTATGAGACCTTCTTTCTAAGCTGGAGAATTACTTTTTGGGTACTTTTTAGGGAGGAAATAAGGTATTCTGAATAGAAACACAAATTACATAAGTTGGAAGTAAGGATAATTTTGAATATCTATAATCCTCCAGTGGAGTTTTTATTTTCTAACCTATTATATAATAATAAACAATCATCAGTTCTATAAATAGATTTTGTAGATTTATTTATTGCTTCTATGAGGTAAGTGGAATGTAACTAGTGGATTATAATATAGCATACAGGTATGTATTAAGTTGGAGCCTATCTAATTTAATTATTCCTTAATTCCTATACCTTCTCCTGATGAGAATTAACTCTCTCTCTTCTATATATGATAGTAGCATAAAGTAAATAATTTTACTTTATGACTTAATACTTAATATTAAGTTTATAACTACTGCTCTTCTCCTAATTTAAGTTTAAAATTTGTTCTTACAAGCTTTAAATATTGCTTAATAGCAAACAGCTTAGTGCTAGCAGAAGGTATTGAAGAAGCAGGAGAGAGAATAGGTATTGGGGAAGGAATAGGTAAAGAAATTGTAACTTCATAGAAGGGAAAAACAACATGAACTAATAATATGAATGTTAGTGGAGGAGAAAGAGTGCCGTATTGTCTTATTCTTGCTATAAAGATTGAGAAACTTAAGCTCTTCTTTATTGTAGTCTGGAATACAAAGCTGGACTTCCAGTCTTTCTCTATTTTTTGTTATTATTGGTTAACAAAAATACCCGACTGCTCAACGTGCATGGTAACCATTTCACATCACTCCAGCCCATTTTCAACTCTACCAAAGAAATTACATCAACTTAATCAAAACTCAATCACATTACTTGATTCTTTTTCCATTAAATACCATACCTCCTATTTTTTGCAGTAATCTGAAAAAGTATATCCCAACTCATTATTTGTCTGAGTTTACTAGGGGGAGAATCCTTGTATTACATGAGCCTCAGATGCGATATTAGAAGATTTCTGACCTCCTCAATATCCCTTTCACAACTGTCAAAAACACATTTCTATAGAAAGACTTAAAGGGTAAGGAGAGAAATGGGAGAGAAAGAGATCCTAAGAGTACCAAGTTAGAAGATGATGCTATGGTAGAGGAACCTCTTGAAAATTGCAATACTACCTATTTTGAAATTACCTAAAAGGTTGTTTCAAATGTTTCTGCTATAATACCCAGGAGAAGACTTGTACAAAGGCATCATAAAAAGTGGTTAGTACAAGAGAGGATTAACTTGAATGAGAATCTAGCTCAGAAGAAATTGAAATAGGTATTAGCTCATAGACACTGGACAATAGAAATGTGGTGGAAGAAGGCAATATGAGGAGATGAAGTTGCTGTTCAGAGAGAGGAGAGGAAAGAGGTTTTCTTTATCATTCATAATATTAAGACTTATTTGGCTTTTTGGGAAATGATCAGAAGGGCAGGAATTACTCTTATAGAAATTCTAGGCTATATACCTGAAATCAATCCAATTGAACATGTTTGAGGCTCTAGTGAATGATAAGCTTCAGAAGCATTATCGTGACCTATATCACATGAAGGGTTCTGACAATGAGGTCAAAAAAGGTATTGAGGAGACTATTCCTGCTTATTGGGAACTACTTAACCAAAAGATTTTTGATTCTCTATCAGGTTTAATAATAGATACCAATGAAGCAATTATTAAGACAGATGGAGAGTACACTAAATATTGATTTCTTCTATGTATTTATTTATATTTTGTAAATTTCTTTTATTCTTATGATGTTGAGGTTGGTGAGAGGGTAGTTGTTGTACAATCAATATATTTTTCTATTCATGGTAGTCAGTTAATTTTGTTAACAAACAATACTATCAGCTAATACTAAAGTACTCCATTCAGTAAGACAATTGAGAAGAGTAATAAAAGAGCCAGTTGTGCTCTGGCTAACTCCAATCATGCCTTCATTAGTATCTCTTAATATGTAAGATTCCTTAAATAGTCAATCAGAAATTCTATAAAGTGTATTATTTGTGTCTTTAGGAATGGAGAGGATATAATAATCATTATTTTATTTTATGTAGATTTGGTAATCCTAAGCTACAGCTTTCTATAATATGACCACATAGTTAATTATATAATTCTGCATTTTTAGTTACAATGAGAAAATAATATTATCATTCAAAATTTAAATTGAAACCACAGAAATCTTTTGCACCTGACACACATGGTACTTGGTATGTTAATTGTAGATCAGGATATGATGTTAGATCGATGTCACATTCTGACTTGCATCATTTAGTGTCCATCATCTGAACTCTATACTCACGTTGACTCCTTGTATTATGAACACCCTAATATCATCTGGCAAACTCCTATTATACTCTGACTAGGTCTAGTACACTATGCTAGGATTTCACAATATCAAACGATCTGCTACTACCTTTAGGCGACACTTAAAGACTTTTTTATTTCTTAAGATATTTGACCTAGGTGCTGTCCTTCCTGATGTTAGTTCCACATACTTGAAATCCAGGTAGTTCAGTTCTTTACACTTCCTATTCTCTTAAGTGGTTTTCAGCTATCTACACTTAGATATTTTAACTCTCATACTCCCCAGATCCTACGTATTAACTTTATTTGTAATACGTCCTAACATAGCCACTGGTTATAGGTGTATATTAAAGCTTTGTCCGCAGCTTTATAAAATAAAAAAAGGTTAGATTGTGATGTATAAGCATGATATCAATTCAACTTAATACCTCTACCTAAACGCTTCATTTTATAATTCAACTGTAGTTTACCAATCCGGATATGTAAAACCTGCTGTAAAAATTAAGCCTCCTCCAAAGACCTCCAGAAGAGAAATAACCAATATTGAAAAAGGCATAGTAATTGCCATTTTCAATTGTTTTCATAACATCACATTCGTGGCTCAAATTATTGGCCGGTCCAAGATAACAATTAAAAGCTTTCTTGCTTGAGCATGTAAATGACAATCTCTGAATAATATTCCTTGCCCTAGTTGCTCTTGCCTTCTTAGTTAGTCACAGTATCATATTATTGTTTAAGCAGCCAAGTCATATCACAAACTGACAATATTGGACTTTTGGAATAAATTCATAAGCATCCTATCACTTTCTACAGCTAACAAAAAAACACTCAAAG